CTTTCTCCGAATTATATTCCATCAGTGACACCATCAAATAGAAATCAAAAGTCGCATCCTCAATATATTATCCTTTTGTCAAAATATATGATATCATCATAATGACCCGACATATTTCCATTTGAAGAAAATTTTCATCAACTTATTTTAATTCATCCACTTTATGCTTCTACATAAAGTCAGTGAGCTTAATAGGTCGTCTCACAATCTGGTAATATTCATCCAAACTATTAATAGCCCTTTGAGTTACTGTCTTTTTCTCTTTCAACTTCTTTAGTTTGGTTCTTTTATTGGAAGATTTTGACCTTGCTTTTCTAGAATTTGATAAGCTAGCCTGGATAGGGTATTTTGTAGAAAGTATATTCATCTAAGAAAGCTAACCCTTTCAAATCTATCACTAGCTCAATAGGTGACCTCCACCTAACACCTAGAACGCCTTTGAGTTACTTCAGCATCTTTATTGTATTCTAGGAGACAGTAGTCTCCCACAGTTCTTCATGAGCTGGTTCCTTTTTTGCTTCTCCTTTGGTTTGTGGTATATTAAAGGACCTAACCACCTAAGCTGAAACTCTTTTGAGATGAACTAGCATATTCTCCGATAATATGAATTCTGCTTGTATTTTTTTCTAGCCAATCCTTACAAACGTAGCATTTTTTATAGGATGGCTAATTACCTTATAATATAGTCGATAATTTAGGTTTATAGTATAATCAAATTCTCAGGTCTCTTGTATTTTGACAGTTCAAGACCTACTCTGAGTGCTTACCAAAACAACATGGCGATGCTTTCCCTCTTAAGTAGACATTCTTTATTCATTGTTCTTTGATGGATGGGAACATTTGATCGTTAGTTCCCATTGTTCACCTCGGTCATTCTCCTCCACCACGAAAAGTCTGAGGCTTGTCATTTCTTTTGAATACCAACTTTGGTTGTGGTTTATAATTATAGGCCTATTTTAACTTATTTTTATACTGTAATGACTACTTGCCTTTATTTATATTATAAGTTATTTACTTACCTTTATCAACATTATATGACACCTATTTTATTTTATTAGTTCTGGAAGAGAATATGGAGTGGGATTCACTTTTTCTAGCATCTGAAGCTTTATCTTTCTTGAGTTTATTTGGGTGGTTTTATGATTTTAATAAATTCAGATTCTCAAACTTTGTCGCCCTGTTCAGTAAGTTCGAAAATGTGGTAATGTAAGACATGCATAATAATGATAACATCTTATCATTGATGTTTTTTATTAGCAGCAGAAGAACATGCTCCTCTTCTAACTATTGCTTAAACTTCATACTCAAAATAAGCTAGCGAGTTAAATATTTTGTTACTAACTCATCTATTTTTCACTTCTCTAAGGTGAGGTTAGTAATATTTATTTTCTTGGTAGCATTGGAAAATCTCTTCATAGACAGAATTTCCAATTATGTGAATGTCTTCAAATAATCATTTGACAACTCGTTGTACAATTTGAAAGCAGTCAATTTTAAGCTACTGACGAATTATCTGAAGAGTAAGGCATTAACACCTCTCATTTTTCCATGGGTAGCTTTAAATTATATCAGATGATGCTTAGGATTATTAATGTCACTAAAAATATTAAACATTGGAATATAATACTCATTTGGATATAGCACTTGGTCGTACTCAGTTAGGTACTGGGGACCCTTATTTATCAAATTTTTTGTCTAATTAATGGCTATAATAGCCATGATCTTCTTGTTGATTGTACCCTCTAACTGTGCAATTGTCACAGGCTCAGAAGTCCTTGCTATATTCTATAGAGCAGACTAATGGACCAGGTTGTGAATCTCATTAACGCCTTTAGGTGTACCCAGTACTCCTAAAACATGGGGTGCTGGATGATCTAGCGGATTAGCGAGACCACTAACCACGCTTGATGATTTTTATGCTAGATGGGTATAGGATTAGTAGTGACATTTCTTTGCATCATCTATATCATCGCAGTCTTCTATGCCATCATCTTAGTCATTGTATCGTTTAACTGAGAAATTTCTTTATCCTTTGCCTTCAGTTTCCATTTCATCTTCGCATATCTATAAGTACGATAGTGTAAGTGATGAAGGGATTCTCTTCGAGTTCTTCTCTTTTGAAACTCTATTGGCAACGGATCCAGCCTCATAGTGGCGTCGATATGTCCATCTAGGTGTTGGCATTTTTCCATCATCATAAAGATCTACTATGTCCTCAATGGATCTTCTTAGTCCTCTTATATCCATATCTTCTTAAGATCGTACCATTTAATTTTTGGTTCGTTGTTTAATAAGAAAAATTCTTTGATCTGTGGACCACAATTGAAGCTAACTTCCACTTGGGATTGGAAGGATGAATAACAATATCCTCTTGAGGATTCTCCAAGCTGTCGACCGCCAACCCGACTATCAATGTGGACCTTCTTTGGGAGTCACTTTTGGTGACTTTTAATAGAAGTGGTAGATCTTTGGGATGTTGTATAAGATGTCACACCTAGAAGCATTCTTTTTTTATTATTATTATTATCTCTTCATGAGGCCATAGTCTCCAGATTTCTTTAACTTTCCAATGGGACCTCCCAGCGGTAGATCCTAAATATGCGATTTAGGTGTCAAACCTCGATGCTCATTGTGTTGGGTTTGTTTCTATTATTTCCTTACTACCATCATAGATGGTAGTTTTCCTTTCAATGCCCCTATCACAGGCACTTTATGGAATATTTTTTTCCAAGATTTTTTTTATCTATTTTCAATAACATGTGCACCTTGGCAAAAAACGTATCTAGCTCCTTCTAAGGGTTTTTTAGCTTAATATTTCTGCTCCTAGTACTATTTTAGTTCACCAATAGAGCTATTCCTCTTCACCCACCTTAGGTCGATGAATTTTTTATGGGTAGGAACACTGACTTTTGGCTTCCAAGCGGGCAATATGGAAGGATGGCCAGGCAGTGGTCACTGAGCTCAAAGCTCTGCATTCTTCTTTCTTCTCTACCTCCTTGTTAGCTTTCCCCCTGGATGAGGAAGCTTTAGCAATGTGCCTTCCAAATGCAATAAGCTAGACTAGCAAGGCAATGGTGTTAGCAGTCACCACGGAGATTCTTTGTCTGGCCATGACCATCCTTATAGTAGGGGTCTCTAGTTGGGACAATCTCTAAAAAATAGAAGTCCTACGATGACAAATATCTCTAGCAGTGGTTCGCGACACAGGAAAATACGCACAACATGCAGTACCTTCAGCCTCTATAACGTATACAAGAACGACAACAACCCTTATAGTTGTTGCAGAGAATTATAGCCCACCAAATTTAATGGCGACTCTGAAGTTTCTAGTGCTAAAAATAGCATTTGCAAACTGAATGCTAGCATCACGTCCCAGCAGGATGGTGAGTGTTCTTGAGGTCCATCTACAAAAATGAAAAGAAAGGGTTATTAATCAGCATTTGAAATATAATCCAACGCTTTCAAAATACACAGATTATACATAATGAAATAATTAAGGCAAGTAATTAAAAATAACTTTAAATCCTGCTTAGAAAATTTTTAATGAATTTGCTAGATGATCATTTTGAAAATTTTAGAATTTTAGCACATGCTGATTTACTACTACTATAGCACTTAGACGACAAAGCAAAAAATGAAAAGAGAAATCATTAACTGTGGAGTCACCAAAAATCTGTGGGCTCTGAAAGTTCTCACCCCGGCCTCTTCGCAGGCCCTTTTTCTTTTTTATGTTGTCGAGGAGTTCCTGCTAGCTTTGAGAGAGAGGAAGAACGAGAGGGAGGATTGCATTGGGAACTTAGAGGGGACGTAGCTCACGGCAGCAAAGGAAATCAGTTGTATAGGAAAGGAGGGCTTTGAGGTAGCAAGAAACAATATGAGGAACGTTTTGTCCTTATGTTATCAGCGGGATTGAGAGTGGATCGAGCTGATTTTTATGTAAATATTGAAAAGAGGGCAACATGGGGGGCGTTAGCGTCGAACAACAGCAGCTGTGTACTTTTTTATTTTGATTTTTTGTTAATATAATAATAATAATAATAATAATTTTATTTTTATTAATTTCATTATTCGAGACATGATAAAATGACAAATTTCATTTGCCTGATTTACGGAGACATTGCCTAAAGATTCATGTTGATTTTCTCATTTGTTGAGTGAAATTATAGTCGATTTTAAGTATTATCAACGTTCAGATCGCAACAACAAATTCTGTTTTGCGCTCGAACGTCATTTGGGCAACGTCATGAGTCAATTTCGGGTGCTGGTCACCGATTTTGACTGCTCCTATCCGATTCTATTGCAAATGCCACCCTCTTAGACAAATTCAACGCTCTGATTGCACCGGCGTAGTCCATTCGACGATCGGATGTATTTTAACCACTTAAGTGCTATATTACGCCCGTAGACTGCCGATTGGGTCGCCAATTTAGTCTATTTTTGCTATAATTTCAATGTATCAATCAACATAGAACTATTTAATTACATATTTGATGGTGCTATATGTAATTTAATAACAAATAAGTTCCATATTTATTTTATTAATATCTATTATTTATTACAATTTAGTAAAATAAATATTCTAGAATTATTTATCAATTACATATTAATTAATCTCTATTTCCTATAAATTCTATTTCAATAAATTAATTTGCTAATACTTATTTATGTTATATGAGCATTAAAAGTTGCTGGTAACTTATATATTATCTTATTTAATCAGAGTAAGAGTGTTGGATACTAATTTGAAATCTATTTAGTTTTTTGTTTGTTTAGAATTGTGAAATATCTGTTAAATAATTTAATATGAAATGCCAAATATTTCGGTGGTAGTTGCTTCTTAATGAACATGAACAACGGTGTCAGTGAACAGTACCAGCGAAAAGGACAGATAAGGTGGAAAACAGAATTTTAATTGAATATTTTCTAAAAGAAAAAATCTAACATCTACCTATTACGTTATGGAGCAGATGGTTTCTATTAATACAAGTACAAGTAATTCATTTGCGATTAACCAGACAGATTAACGCTCCATATTTGATAAAACTCCCTTACTGTCATCAAGACTGAACTTCTATTCTGATTACAAACTGGCCAATGAAAAGCACGAAATAACTAATTAAGATTATCAATTAGAAGACCATTAAGGTGGCATCTGAACTAAAAAAATATGCAGAGCTTTTATGGTGTAAAGAACAGCTCCATTACTAAAACAGTACATAATGAATGAATTCATGAGGTTCAAAATTGAGAGATCTACAAGTTTGATAGGGTGTCCTTCGATTGACCTGGCAATGGTGCATTAAAAACCTGGGATAGCAGTAATCTTTGCCTCTTGGTTAGCCTGGAAGAATCGCAGTGTTTTGAGATTCTATCCTCAAGAGCCTCTTGTCCATATTCTGCAGATCTTTTACGTAGAAAGCACAGCGACGCAGATGGTTCATTTAAAATGGCCCTTTCCTCCAGGCTGCTCTCAGTTTCTTCATCCATCATATAATTATAATTGGTTTCATTTGAAGCCAGAGAGGTTTCCTCTTTGTCCAGATTGTTATCCATAGATTGTCCCTGTAGCATCCTTGAATCTTCACCGCTACTATCTATCCACCATTTCGTTGAAACTGATGACAAGCCATTTGATGGAAACCCATATTCAAATTCATCCATATATGTCGATATATTCTTTGGCTGTAAAGGCTGAGGTATGCCAGACCATCCATATTGCACAAACTTGTTTCCTTGTTTATGAAAGACTTGCCCGGACATATGAACCCCTTTTTGGAGTTTTTTTGTATCCTGCACAAGGCCGGGTGCTTTGTTGTCAATGTCGCTACTACTGTATAGAAAATAAAAATTAATAATCAGGAATAGTCAATTTTAAATATAACCTCATAATGTAAAATTAAATTAATATGCATGTCTGATAGAAAGTTATGATATAAGCATTTAGTCTAATTTTTTTAGTATTTTTAAAAGGACCATACGCCTTATTTGAAGCATTTTGAATCAATATGAAGGGTATCTTTCATGTCAAATGCAAACATATATATAATCACCCTCATTAAATTCTATAGGTGATCCCTTTAAGTTAATTTATTAAACATATTTGGCATTATTCTTTTTCTTTTTGTTATCTTTCTTCTAGATTTAATTCAAATTCTATTTTCTTCAAGCTCATAATTTTTACTCTTTATTTTGCTTGTTCTTTTTTTAGGACATTGAAAATGGTAAATGTCCTTGAAAGTGGAGGACTAGCAGTATTTTAGACGGCCCAAGAATGGGATATTTTGTAGGGGTGAGGTAGGTGTGGATTTGGACTAAGAAAAGATGAATTTTGTGTGGTAGGTCTACTAATAGACCTCCAAGAAGTAGAATTTATGATGCAAAGGTATGAACACAACACAAATATGTTACGAGACTGACACAAGACACATGAATTATTGATAATATAGAATACATATACAACATGGAAAAGACATTATAATTTTTAAATAGTTGCATTGAAATTAAAATTGCATAATATTAAGAATAATAAAAAAGGATAAGTCATTGAACTTCAACATTCTTGTACTATACTCTTCCAATATTTGTTACATAAAGCTCATGAGGATTAGGTGGTGCTTTCTTAGAAGGCATAATGAGGAATGAAAAATAAGATTAAGAAATATGTCTTCATAAGAGAGGAAGAAACAAAAAGAAAAGGCAAATAGCTTACTATAATTAAACTTAATTAATTTAAGAGAGAGTTAATTTAGGTTTTAATGTAATAGGACACTACAAGAAAAGTTTGGGCAGTGGAATTCAACTTATCTAGATGCACTTATTCGCTCAGGAAAAGTTTGGGCGCTATGGTACGAACATTGCTTTCTCAAGCCTAAGGTCTCATTTTCACTTAGGTGGATTGGATTTTAAATTAATCAGATTTCCCCGATGATCGGCAATAGGGTTTATTTACTTATGATGTTCCACTTCCTATAAGCGCAAGCCCACATAGTTAATTACACCTCCTAACGCGTAGAAAAGAACTCTCGATTAAGAATGAATTAATGTTTATACGTGCAATAGTTTTAAATTTTGACCATTGGGGATGAAGATAGACCTGATCAAGATCCCATGGTTATGTCATCCTGAGAATACTGTAGGTTTCAGTCAATAAACACTAACAATCATTGATTGTGGTGTCCAGAAAAACTGATTAGCATAGATTGATTGCCTCCACACAGGAATCCTGAGCAAACTAAAGTGGAAAGGAGTGTATTTTAATTTTATTATGGTTTGGGATTTACATATATTAGATTATCCAGTATTTAATTTAGTTTGGGGTTTATGACTTCATTTAGAAATTACCCAATTGTTTGATTTAGATTTGGGGCCGAAGCTTACAGGTTTTATTAGAAATAGCCCCTATAGCCGGTCTTACGGCTTCGTTTAAAAGTAGCCCATAGTTAGGATTTAAGGTTAGGTTTCTTTTACCTAGAGATTCTTCTAATGTGTGGGTCTTACTGCTTCTATTAGATGTAACTCGTAGTTGGGATTTAGGGTTAGGTTACTTTTACCTAATGATTTTCCTAACGTGTAGGTCTTATTGCTTTTATTAGAAGTAGCCCATATTTGGGATTTAGAGTAAGGTTATTTTTAACTAGAGATTTTTTCTAACATGTGGTACTTACTGCTTTTATTAGAATTAGCCCAGATAATAGGTAATGCAGCCTCTATTAGAGTTTGCCAAGCTTATTAGGGATATGTTAATTGTTTTGGGAATGTTTTTTCTAACACCTTAATTAAAGTGGGACTTATGGCCTCTATTAGAGGTGGCTCGTATATTTGGGTTAGAGGGGTTTTAGTTTAGTGGGGCTTTAGTACCAAACATGTAACGTTGCATTTGAGTGGGCCTTATTGCTTATAATAGAAGTAGTCATTGTGCTTCAATTAGAAGCTTTCCCTAGTTTGTTTGGAATGGGATTGATTACTCCCCTTTGGAGGATTTGTTGCTCCCCTAGGAAGGCTTCATAACTCCCTTCGGGAGGTTGTGTGCATTAATTTAACTGGGATTTATCCTGCCTTAGCGAGTAGTTTCCTATTAGGCTGGTTTTAGAGTAGTTACACACCCTACTGCTTGACACTAGTGCTTTCTATCCTAGCTTTCAATAGTTTACTAGGTTTTTGCTTGTATTAGTGCTCGTAGCATTCCTACTTTAGTGGCTTTTTTTTTTTGCTTTAGTACCATTGCTTGTTCAATATCCGCCTTTTTTTTTTCAGTATTAGTTCTACTTAAGTATCGACTTGTTTTAGTACCCTCCTTTTTTCTTTCAATACTAGGTGTTCATTGCTAACAATTGTAGGAGCTAAAGTTTGCAGCTGTATGGTTTGCTAGGAGCTTTGGAGTTTGCCCAGAGCTGAAGCTAGGTTTGGAGTTTTTAGAGTTTTTTCAGTTTTCTATTATCTTTAAATTTAGGAGTTTGGTGTTAGTTATTGTACGTTGTACTTAATGATACATAGCGTGAAGATTGTTTTCATCGTTTTCTTGTTTTAATCATAAAAATACAAAGAATCATCATAGTTGCACTCCCTCAATATTTTCTACTAGCATTTTAAAATTCTTTAAAATTTGGTTTAATTAAAAGTTTAAATTAAAATTAAAATTAACCTTCCAGCTCATTAATCAATTTAAATGTATTTTAAATTACTTAATTAGTTTAATTTAATTATTAATCAAATTAGTTGCTCTTTTAGTCTAATTAATTAAAAGATTTCAAAATTTTAATTAAAGGGTTTATTAATTAAAATACTTTAGTTTTAAATTAAATAAAGTTTTAATTTAATTAAGTAATTAAATCTTTAAGTTTGTTACTCAATTAGTTATATTTTAATTCAAAGATTTAAATAAGTTAAATTGATTAATCGATTGTTAAAAATTTTACTTTAAAAAGTTAATTAATTATCAAATTAATTAAAAGGTAAATTTCAAATTAATTAGTTAAATTAAATTAAATTTTTATTTTAATTAAAATTTTGTTTTAATTAGGTTTTAAATTAGTTTTTAAATTTTTGTTTTAAATTAATTAAATGCCCACTTAGAGAGTTTTAAATTTATTATCTTAATTTTAATTAATTGTAAAAAATTGATTTTAAAATGATTCATCAATAAAAGCTCTCGACAATCTCCAATTTCCCGGGGGGATTTCGACAGCCTCCTGACCTCCCCTCCCCGCGAAGGGAGATTAGGGAAGGCACTTGCTCTTTCAGATCCACTCGGTCGGATCAAAGGCCGAGGGCTTCCAGGGAGCGAATTGAACCCTATATATATATATAAAAATTGATTTCTATGGCTATATATAGATTTTACATCTTAAAGAATTATAAAAGACATAGAAATGTATAGAGTTATAAAAATTATATAAAATTTCAAAATGACAAAATTATTTATAGGTTTGAATGTCCAATAATTGCCTCTTCATTTTCCACCAAATCATATCATAATCAAAAGTATATCTTCAATTATTACAGCCTCTCATCTTCATTTCTAGGTCGAAATTTCTATCCTCCGTTGGCATACAATTGTATTAGTAGGTTGAACTCGTTCAGTAAGGTTGTTTTAAGAAGAAGTGCAAGCTAGTGGAAATTGAGATGAGCAAACAGCACGTAGTGACCAGCATAATTCCTCATGCGACCAAATCGACTTCACCTGATTTCGTTGGAGTTGAGGTCTGAAGAGGGGAGTTTGTGTGTGGTTTGCGTTCTACATAGAGAATGGAGAAGAAGAAGACGAGTTCATGATCTATGATTCGGAGGGTGGGCGGCCACTTTTTGGCTTTGATAGGCAGTAAAAAGGAATTTGTGCATTATCTAAAACAAGAAGGAGAGGATTTTTGTGTGAAATTGGTCGATAGAGAAGGTCTTGGTGTTGATGATTGAAGACAGAGAAGCAGAGGGAATGACTGGTGTTACCTCTTCTATCTTGCTTGATGGAGATGAAGGAGAAAGAAGGTTGTTTGAGCTCGATAGAGACAAAGGAGAAACAAGAGGGCTGTTAGGTGGATTGGATTTCAATCGGAGTTCTGGATCGTCTTCCTTGTACGACATGATTCAATCGAGGACAAAGAAGTATGGTATGAGTTCAATTTGGGACATAGAACTGTTCATCATTTTGAGTTCATGCAATTCATTTGATCAATTCAATGGAGACAGATGAGAAGGAGTTCGTTCGACTATTTTCCTAAAATTAAAATCCAAAAAGAAAAAGGAGTATTGTCCAATCTGGTTCAGTAGAGTCACAGGCAGAGAGGAGGAGAAAAATAATCTTTTGTTTAGAGTAGAAAAAAAATAGTTTTAAGATGTCAATATGATTGAATTAAATAGGAAATAAGAAGAATCGAATTGCATTATCTCATGCGAAAAAAAGAAATAATAATTAGAGGTAATTAATACAATTAGAAATATGACTTAATAATTAAATGCATTCGATGTTGCCTTTAACAATGTTTGATGCGTTCGACATTGCCCTCGACAAATTTTAACATCTCTGAAATTATTTGAAATATTGTTTATTAATATTAATGTTTTTTTAAACAATGACATAACAGAGCAATATAATCGAGGCAAAATATTGAAAGCAAGTAAGCGTGTTCTTGAAAAATTTAGGCAAGGGTTAAATATATTAATGAAAATTTAATTGAAATTTTTAATGTAGATATATTTCTAAATTAGCTACATAATTTGGGTTCGATATGTACTTGATATTTAGGTTGTGCAATAAGTAAGAAAGACTAAGAATTTAAGAAAAAAAGGAAAACATTAGAGTGGAAGGTTCGACCATCGATAAACAAGGTGGGTAAT